ACTTACAACTATTCACACTATCTAATACACGTATAACTATGTATAGAAACTATATAAGCGTCTAACTTTACAACTATTAATAGCAATACGTATGCAATTATTTGAAACTATATAATTGACGTAACTGTTTATAGTAATACATGTATAATTATCTGTAGAACCTATACATGTATTGTGTTACAAATAACTATAAGCTTACTCACACATATGTAGAATACATATACTGAAACTATATAACTATTACTACAGCAATACGCAAAAGAGAGCAACACAGAAGCTAAATAATATATAATTATACACATTGCTGAAAATAATCGGTATCTCATTCTGGACACATCTGACATTATTCCTTATTTCCCACAGTCTCCGATTTTCAAAAGTTTCAGGCAATAAATATCGTCACCTAGCCCCTCGGTATCATTATAATCGGCCAGTTGGTCTTTGATCCCTTTAATCATTTACGGATAGAACAACTTGCAATGATAATTAGCCGTGGATGCGCTCCAAGTTTCGTTCTGCCTGTCAATAGCAATTAAAGTATCATGAACACGCGAGAACGACGGGGTTCAAATAGGGATTACGAAATCACGGGCCGGTTTCCTCGACAAAAGGGCATGTAGCCATTGCATGCCTGCCTCGTGCATCAACGTTCTCCACAGACTGTACGCAAAATTCAGGGAACATCACCCTGTTGCCGTTCTTGTACTTTCGCGTGCATCTATAATCTCGCGAGAATGCAAACAGGACTCTCTGATTGAGCGTGATTTCAGTTCGATTTCTGGTAATTTATCTAACAGTCGCATTAATTTTGAGATCGTCAATCTCTTGCGCTGGAACGACGTGCCACGCACGTCGAGAATTTTTCCCAAAAATTGCAATATTCTCTCAGTTTTAAGTATATATTTAAATATAACCCAAGGCAATTAAACGAATAATAAATTTATTACTTCTGAATAATTTCTAGTGATCATGTCGTACCGACGAGTTCAAAAAGAAAGCGACGAATTATTGCACACGGTGACTACTCGGTCACTCGTTATGGTCCGCAATCAGTTGCCAGGCGCAAGTGGAATGACGTGCCACGCACGTCAATAATTTTTCGTCTCAAAATTGCAATATTTTCTCAGTTTCAAGTAGTATTTAAATATAAACCCGGGCAAAACAAATGATAAATTTTTATTACTTCTCAATAGTTTCTATCCAGTGATACCATACTCGACGAATTCGGAAAGAAAGCGACCAATTATTGTACACGGTGACTCGGTCACTCGTTATGGTCCGCAATCAGTTGCCAGCGCAAGCGGTTAAAGACACTTAAACTCTTGGAATGACGTCTCACGCACGTCGAGAATTTTTCGTCCCAAAAATCGCAACATTTTCTCAGTTCTAAGTATATTTAAATATAACCCCAGGCAACACAACGAATAAATAAATTTGTTACTTCTCAATAATTTCTATCCAGTGACGTCGTACCGACGAGCTCAAAAAGAAAGCGACGAATTGCACACGGTGACTCGGTCACTCGTTATGGTCCGCAATCAGTTGCCAGCGTAAGAGATAAATTGTGTTTTCATGGAACAAATGAAAGGCACTTAGACGAGGCGCTGAAACAATAATTAACTAAATTAGTAAAGTTTTAAGAAATGCTAGTTAACTGAAATAATAAAGTTCTGAAAAGTAATAATTGACTAAAATAACGCAGTTCTAAAAAATAATAATTAACTAAACTACTAAAGTTCTAAAAAAATAATAATTAACTACTAAAGTTCTAAAAAATAATAATTAACTAAAATAACAAAGTTCTACAAAATAATAATTAACCGAAATAATAAAGTTGCAAAATATAAACATACACTTCATATACTTGAAACATGTACATACATAATTAAGGTGTATTCGTATGATCGAGGTCTCGGGTAATCGACGTTCTGCTGTATATCTCGGATCGACTAAAAAGTAAAAAAAAGGAAAATTCGAAGTGGCGCTTCGCTTCGGTTTAACGTTTCACACCTTCTTAAATCTCCTTAAGGTGCGTATCGTTTTCGACGCCCACGCACCCACCGTACGCCCTTTTTTCTTCCTTTTCCTCTGCTTAACGGTACCAAGCCACGTGAAACGTCGTGACAGCAATTTATGCGCGACAGTTTCTCAGACGTTAGACAGTTCGTCTATGGATTACTCGAAGATCTCTTCGTCTGTTTCGTGAACCATTCGTGTACGCGATCGTCCCGGATCCCTTCGGTCCAACAACGGAAGATAAGGCGGTCGTTCGATCGTGGAATTTTACGAAAACTCCGTGGTACTCCGACGATATGGTCAGCGTTTAATGAGATTGAAACGTCCACGCCAAACACTTTATTGCTTTCCCTCGGTGTTTTACGTTCTCCTCTTGGCGGAAGTAATGGAGTTTGGTTACGTATCTAGTATCGATCGAAAACAAAGTTGTTTTCGATGTTCCACGTGATTTTCGTGGCGCGTGAATTTCGTTCGATAATGAACGGGGAAAAAGATCACGACTTATATTACGTGTGATTTGTATATAATTTCAGGTGTCTCACTTTGATTTGGAAAGCAAAGAAGCGAGAACGTTTTTATATTTTTGCGTTTTGAAGTTTTCTATAAATATATAAATATTAATATATATTGCTATAAAAATCGTGGAATTTACATAAAAATCCACAGTCTAGTCTTTTAACGTGTCATCTGTATAATATTACGTTTTCCAACGCATCAGATTTTATACGTGTAGTTTCTTATGTATATATATATATATATATATATTATGTATATACNATATATATATATATATATATATATATATATATTATGTATATATATATATATATATGTACATACAAAAATAGAATTTTTATTCATGTCTATAAACGTTTATGGAATAATTCTGATTCATCGAACTCGATTTAATCGATTAATAAACTAATAATAAACATTAAATATAAAGGACATAGAAAAATAAAAAGTTTAAAATTTATTTGGTAAAAAATTAAATCAATTAATTTAAAATCTTCAGTTATCATTATTATTATAAATAAGATTAGAAATATTAAAACTTCAAATAAAATTATCTGAGAAATTAAACGTATTATTATCCTAATATACAATAATTGTTTATTGAAACTCGTCTAATAATTAAAATTGGATAAACATTTAATCTAATAATAAATAATACAAAAATTATTCTATGTATTGTATTAATATTATTATAATTTCATGGAGAAATTAATCACAATATTGATGATACAAAAAATATAAATATACGTCTATAATAAAATATTTTATTTGATCTCAAATGAAATATTTCCTTAAAAATAAAAGAAGCGAAAATAAAATGGTAAAATAAGACAAGCTGTTTCTTAAAATTCAGCGAGTCTTTAACAGATTAATAACAACAGTACAAATCAACATTAATACAATAAAGTGAATGAACAGACGAAATAAGCAAAATAAAATTAGAAAATTAGAACTTACTGTTAACTCAAGATACAGATACTAAATAACAAAGATATATGATACTATAGAGAATTGAAACTCTCTGTTTATAAAATCGTTAGTGGAATAATTCAGAGAGCAAGAAGAATTTCTGATACTTTTGACATACAGAGAATTTTTAATGCGCTTTCTAACAGTTAATAAAACATGAAATGCCATCGATCATGATTCTTGGAAAAAGATTATAATCATGAAATCAACTCGACATGACTCGATCTCGGTGGAAACTGGAATAGAACGTATCTCGAGTTTGAACACGTCCAGAGATACGAGATTTCAAATGTACAGATAAATGCATTAATGTTTGCAACTCCTGTAACTGATAAATCTTTCATAACTTAGAATGTCAGTGGAATCGTTTAGAATTCTTATTTGATAAGTACCATCGTGGGAGATTGAACAATACAGTGGGTCGAAAAGCATCGGCATACCTAATTTTTTCGGTGATATCTTTGTGAAAACAGATGCATTAGCAAAATCTGCAAAAAATTTCCATAAATAGTGATGTACACATTAGCTATTTTCAATAACGAGTTATAAAATAATAATTACGAAAGACATAAAATTCGAGACTTTTAATTTCAATTATTCAGTTATTCAATTAATTCAGCTTAGTTTCCATTGCAATGACGGAACGATTATTTAAAAAATTACAAGATATTCAAAGTGCTGAAATGTTGTTGAATAACATAGCGCCAACATGAGAAAAGCACGCTTGTCTTTAAGTCATTAATAATAATAATTAATAATAATTAATATTTAATACATTTATAACCAAAATATTTTATAATAATATTATAATAAAATTTAATAATATTTTATAATAATATTATAATAAAAATTAATAATATTTTATAATAATATTATAATAAAAATTAATAATATTTTATAATAATATTATAATAAATATTTTATAAATTTATAATATTTAATATATTATAATTATTAAATTAAAATATATTATATTTCAATTTATAATATTCAATATATTATAATTGTTAAATTAAAATATATTATATTTAATTTATAATATTTAATATATAAAATATTTGTAAAACATAAGTTTCATATATAATAAATTTTATAATTTATAATTATATTTTGTTTTTATAACGTGTGTTACAAAATAGAGCTAGTAAAAAAACAAAACTCCTCGTGCGTCAATGTCTGTTTGACTCTCGAATTTTTACATTACTTGCATCATTATTGAAATTTTGCTGTGCACGTTACTTTTATAACTATACAAATAAATAAATAAATTTGCGAGAGCAGATTTTGTTAATGTGCCGTTTATCTTCAAAAAAATATTGCAAGAGGATTAAGCGTGCCAAGTATCGATCCGCTGTATATTAATTCTCAAATCACGTTAACGAGAATGTTTGTTAAATGATATTTCTCAAATTAAGTTAGTACGAACATTTGTTAAAATATTGAACGAATGTTTATGATCAGTTGAACGTTAATCATTCTTACTCTCTATTTTATTTCAGACTGGTGTCACACCATTGCAAAGGGCAGCTTCTGAAGGTCATTTGGAAGTGGTGGAATTGTTGCTGAAACATGGTGCCGACGTTGCTCGCCAGGATAACGTGGTGAGTGAGAATTTCGTTTGAATCTCTTTTCAAGGTCCATTTATATCGTACTATCGAGTAAAACGAAAGCAGACATTAATGTATATCAATGTCTGCTAAATTAACATTAATATTAAATAGAAATTAATAATTAAATTAATATTAAAAATAGAATAACAAATATATCGATACGCTATAAAATGCAATTTGAAAATTTTATCGCCTACGGTAATTACTGGAATATAATTATTAAAAATTAAAAGGGCAAGGAAGTTAAATTAATTACATCGAATACTGAATATAGAAAATTACGAAAGAAAATCAAATTGTTGAATTTAACTAAAACAGGAGAGTGAGTAAATGAATACAATGAGTATAGTCGACTTCAGTTTGGTGATTTCAACTCACGGTTAGGTGATAAACGCTCTCTTTCTCTGTATTTATACAAAATTTGTGCAAAATTAACGAAAATGAATATCTTCATTGCTATTACAAATATGAAAGTGCTTTATTAACAAAGGTTGTTCAACTATAATTTTAGTACTTTGATTCTATAAAACCTGCCGCGTCGAAGACAAAGACAACATGAACACCGTTCCTGCCTTTTATATACATTTATAGAATTAAGATATTAAAACATTTCCTAGATTGATAGTTTTTTGACATATATAGATTAACAAGTATATTTTTATAAGTATACCTCGGGACAAGAAAGTATATGATTTCACTTGAAGGAAAATTGAAGGTGGCCTTGAAATCACCGAAACTGATGAAATAAAATTACAATCATTTATATTAATTAATTGTCGAACTAGAAAAAAATTATTACTTACATATATATAATATATAACTCTCTATATTGAATAACTTTCGTTAATTACAAGAATTTATACGAAATGTCATTCGAATAAAATATTATTCGAAATGTTATTCGTATAAAATTTTATTCGTATAATACCCAACTCATGCCGTGCCACTTGATAGATGCGATTATAACCAGAGAGGATACGACACAACAACAGCTGTAAATCGTTGTAAATCGGCGAAAGTAAATTGGGGAAATCGTCGAGATTTCTGGTTTCTGAACAGAACGTGTAGCGTATCCGCAACTTCGCCTCTTAGTGGTCTTGGAGCGAGCGCTATTTTACATTTGCTTCGAAAGGAGCAATGATGCTTCTCACGACAATCTGTAAGATGTTAATTTCACGTTAACGACTGTATCACAAGATGTATAGTCGTGCAATTCGATCCCTCAGTATTGGATTTTTTTAATCCTCCAACCTCTGGCTCGTTCATTCTTTGCACAGTCAATTTAATCCTTCGTGTTGAATTTTTAATCCTCGATCTACTGAGTCGTTCACCCTTTGGGTAATCTTCACCTTGTAAATTTTTCAAAGCGACTTTTTGTTTCTTCGCTTCTTAATCTTCGAAGATTGATTAAAAAAAATAATCTAATTTTTGATCTTATTTAGAAAAAAAAAACTTGTCCAACTTAATGAAAACGTTAAGTATATAACTTATACTATAATTATATTATAGTACTTATAGTATTAGTATAGTATATTATTATATTATATTATATTATAGTACTTATAGTATTTTATACTATATATAAGTACTATAATAGTACTTATATTATACTATATATATATATATATATATAGTATATTATAATATTTAGTATTTATAGTATTTTATACTATATATAGTATAAAATATTATAGTATTATATAATATTATAGTATTTAGTACTTATAGTATTTTATACTATATATAGTATAAAATATTATAGTATTTAGTACTTATAGTATTTTATACTATATATAGTATAAAATACTATAATATACTATATATACTATATATAAGTACTATTATATTTTATACTATATGTAAGTATATTTATATGCTATATTATAGTATAGTATTATAAAAAAAATAATACTATATATATATATAAAATACTTATATGAAGTATTCCAAAAATATTTTACGGTAGAAAAGAAAAAAATCACTATGAACAATGCGATAATACGATTGCTCGCGGTCAAAAGTTTCATTATCCGTGACAAGTATCGACTGTTAAAAATAAAAGGTATCCTAAGACATTCGAAACTTTTATAGGTATCTGCGTAGGTAAATTTAATATAAGAGAAAGCAGAATTGGGCAAAAAGTTGGTCATTAATGAAATTTTTCCAGTTTAATTACATTCCAACTTTCATCATGAATAACGATTAAATTTCTGTTTCAATCGTTTCAGTTGCGATTAAGAATTCAATTCTTACGTTAATCGTTACTTGTTATTAATCGATATTAACGATTAACGTAAGAATCAGTTTGTAATAAAATGTTGAATAATATTTATTAAACAATATGACAAATATTTTTATAGTATAAATATATATAATAATATATAAACAAAGATTTTTATAATATATAATATATAATAATATCTGAACAAATATTTTTATAATATATAATATGTAACAATATATAAATAAATATTTTCATAATATATAATAAATAATAATATATAAGTAAATATTTTTATAGTATATAATAATATACAAACAAATATTTTTATAATATATATAATAATATATAAACGAATATTCTTATAATATATATAATAATATATAAACAAATATTTTTGAAACAAACATAGTACATCTATTCTCCAAAATCTGTAAAACAACAATATCAAATAAACAAAAAAAGAAGTGTGCACATTGTTTATGTAAATATCAAGAAAAATGAACAAAACGACAGAAATGAACGCGTAATAAGTATTCGTGCAGTTCCATTGTCATTATCGAGTGTAGAAGTAATTTAAACATTTATAATAAAAGCAACAAGTAATTGTAAAACTATAATATTCATAATTAGTATTACTATTAGTATTACTATTCAATGGGATTTCCCTTTGACTTTATTATTATAACTAGCCTCCTAGGTATTGAATTAACCAAACTAGATGTGATTTTAATACTGATATTATTCCATTCGTTGATCAAAGCAATCTTCCAAGTCTGTTCTAGATGAAATTGAATATGTTTTTCGAATTGCTCGTTCCAGATAATCCCACAAATGTTCAATAGGGTTTTTATAATAGGGCAATATCTGCTGATTGAGGAGGTAATCTCTCGCGGAGAGATGTTGGAAGATCGAAAATAAATTTGTTGGAGCAACACTCCAACGCGACTGAGCATCGTAATCCTCTCTCAAAGTAAATAATCGCGCGGTCTCTGTCGTTTCAACGAAATTCACACGTGTCATCGCGGACATATCCCCATACGTACGTACGTTCGAACGATCATCGTTCGCGTTTCAACGCGAGTCACCATAATAATAATTATTATTATTATGGGAAGAGAAGCAGCCGCGCCCGCGGACGTGTACAGTCAACACTCGACTAACGCGGCCTCGTTAATATCGTATGCAAATCGGATGCAGAATGTCTCTTGCGACTATTCGCAGGTGTAAACGTAGCGTCTTGATCGACGATTATCTCGTCGGTCGGCTGTTGTCAGAGGTCACAGTATGATAGGATCGATATCGACGCCGTCATTAAGTCGTAAAACGTTTGATGGCTGTCATTACCGACATTGTGTCGCGTTTAACTTGGTTTCGCGTTAAGGAGCCGCGTTTTCGCTGATCGGCCGATTTTCTTTTCTTTTTTTTTTCTTTCTTTCTTTCTTTCTTTCTTTCTTTCTTCCTTTTTCTTTACAAGCCGGCAATTTCATGAACGGAAGCCGCCGCGAAATAAACGACAAGAAAATCGACGGTGGGCGTGTATAGGTATCTTACGTCTTAATGACCGCTGCCGATTGATCATTGAGTTTTGAATTTCGACCTGCGACGCGTTCCTCAAGTGATATTTATGACGCAGCGTCGTTAAGTGGCACGTTTAAGCCTTTAACTACGGTCAGCGGACGTCGAAGGAAAATTTGCGTAAAACACGGATATATCGTTGACGAGCGATTTTTCTTGTTTCAATCGTCTTGCGTTTGTTCGTGTTTCGAAACTAAATAGAAACGTGTATGTAAAGTTGAATTAATTGATATTTGTATTTTTATTATTAATTTATATATTGATATGATAATTTATATATTGATATCTAAAGTTTAATTAACTTGAATATTTAATGTATAATTTAAAATTTTAATTTTGAAAATTTAATTTATAACATAAAAGTTTAATTTATAATTTAGTTTATAATTTGAAATTTTAAAAATTTGATTTATAATTTAATTATATTATAACGTAAAAGTTTAATTTATAATTTAGTTTATAATTTGAAATTTTAAAAATTTGATTTATAATTTAATTATATTATAACATAAAAGTTTAATTTATAATTTAGTTTATAATTTGAAATTTTAAAAATTTGATTTATAATTTAATTTATAACTAAAAATTTTTATTTAAAAAATTTGATTTATAATTTAATTTATAACAAAAAATTTTTATTTAAAAAAATTTGATTTATAATTTAATTTATAACTAAAAACTCTTATTCAAAGAAATTTGACTTATGATTTAATTTATGACTAAAAACTTTTATTCAAAAAATGTGATTCATAATTTAATTTATAATTAATCTACAATTTAATTTTTAATTTATAATAATTAAATTTCATTAACTTACGGCTCACTTCTGTCATTCCACGATGAAGGGTTAAAGTTGATAATTAATCGTCACTGTTTGGAGAATTATTTAGCTACTTTATTATCGAGGCTACAGTGGCAGAAGGTGAAAAGTTTACGAGAAAATAATTAAGTGTTATTGTTATTGCAAACACACTTCTCGAAAATAGCATTATAGGTATTTGCACCATAAGCGGCTTAACGTTTGACGTGTTACAATCTCCCCCGAGTAGAAACTTTAAGTAGATTGGGAAACGATTAGTCCGCGGCGAAACATTTTCGATTGATTATTATCACGCCGATAATCGTGGCTGGATGTCGATGGAATCGTTTAATGAGCAACAGGCACGTACTTACGTCGGCGGGACCGTGCAGAAAAT